GCTCGCCCCTCCCTCTCCCTCCCCGCCCGCGCGACGCGTGCAGAGGCTCGCGCCGCCGCCCGAGCCGCGCCTCCGCCCTCCGATCCCCGGCCAGCATCTCTGCGCGCCACCGCGCCCGCGCCGCGCCCTGCCGCGCCACGCCCGCGCCAGGGCTCCGGGCCTGTGCCGCCCGCTCCGCGCTGAATTTTCCCAGGACTGCCTCCGTCCGATTAGGTACCGAGTCTGACAGCAGCACGTTAAAGCGCCATGGAGGATGAGGACCTGAAATCTGCCATCAACGTCGCCTGGGTGCTCCTGTGCACCGCGCTTGTCTTTTGGGAGCAGGCCGGCTTTGCCATGTGGGAGGCGGGCTGCCTCCGCTCGACCAGCTTGCACTCAATCCTTCTGAAGAACATGTGCGACGCCGCCATCGGCGCCGCGGCTTTCTTCACCCTCGGCTACGCCATCGGCTTCGGTGGAGGCGCCGACCACAAATTCGCCGGCAACGACAAGTTCTTTCTCAAGGCATGCGCGGCCCGCCTGCACAACCCTGCACCGCCGCCGTTCGCCCTCCCAGCCGCGCTCGTGGCGCACATGTCAGGGCGTGGCTATTGACGACTACCACATCGTCTTCTTCCAGTGGGCCTTCGCCGCCACCGCAGCCACTACCGTGAGCGGCTGCATGGCGGAGCGCACCCAATTTGCCGGCTACCTGATCTACTCCTTTTTCGTCACCGCCTTCATCTACGCTGTCCCCTTGCACTGGCTGTGGGCCGACGCCGGCTGGCTGTGCGCGTGGGGCGACAACGCCGCCTTTGGCTACGGCATGATCGACTTCGCCGGCTCCGGCATTGTGCACATGCTGGGCGGCGCCGCGGGGCTGGTCGGCTCGTATGTCGTGGGCCCGCGCGCGGGCAGGTTCACGGACAAGGGGCCGGTGCAGATCGAGGGGCACTCGATCGCCCTCACGACGCTCGGCGTCTACTGCCTCTGGTTTGGCTGGTTTGGCTTCAACGCCGGCTACACGCTCGGTGCCACGCACACGCCCGCCCAGGCCGCCCGGCGCGCCCACCGCGCAGCACTCCGGCGCAGCCTCGCCATGCCTAGCGCCTGCGCACCGCGCGCAGGCACGACGGGCGGCATGTGGAAAACGGCGGCCCTCATCTGCGTCAACACGACCATCTCGCCGTCGGCCTCGATCCTCTCCGTGCTGCTCATCGAGAAGTTCCTGGCGGGCTACTACGACACCTCCAAGTGAGACGCGATGAGTAGTGGTCGGTAGTCGCAGTAGTAAAAGTAGTTAGCGGAAGTTCCTGGTGGGCTACTGCGACATAAAGGGAGCTAGGTGCTATAGCTGCTCCACCTCGCTGCTCCACCTAGCTGCTAGTAGCCAGTCGTAGTAGCTAGTACGACAGCTGACAGTTTGACGCGCCCGTCGGGTCCTCCACCGCCCATCCCCCCCCCCCCCCCCACTCCCCAGGTGCATGAACGGCATCGTGGCGGGGCTCGTAGGCATCACTGGCCCCTGCGGCGTGGTAGAGCCCTACGCGGCGGCCATCATCGGCATCGTCTCCGGGGCCGTCTACTGCGGCTCGTGGCGGCTGCACGAGCGGCTTCGGATCGACGACCCCGTGCACGCCGGCGCGGTGCACGCGTGGCCCGGCTTCTGGGGCTGCATCGCGTCGGGCCTCTTCGCGTGGCCCAAGCAGGTGGCCACGCTGGGCTACGTGGGCGGCGGCGGCCTCTTCTACACGGGCCACGGGGGCCAGTTCGGGACCAACGTGCTCGGCACGCTTGTCGTGCTGGCTTGGACGGTGGCCACCTCGTCCATCGTCTTCGGGTCGCTCCAGGCCGCCAAGCTCCTGCGCGTGACTGCGGAGGAGGAGGAGATGGGTGCGCCACGCCCCGACGGCACCCCCCCACACCCCCACCTACACCCTACACCCACACCCAGCACCCGCCCACTCCACCCCCCGACTCCACACACCCCGCCCGCCCATGCCGCCCGCCCATGCCGCCCTGCGCGCATCGCGCAGGCGTCGATCTCGCCGAGCACCTGCCTCGAGACGGCGTCACGCCTCTCAAGTCCAAGATGATGGGCGCCGTGATGAGGCACCGCGGCAGCGGCAGCGGAGCCTCGTCGCGAGCTTGCGGCGCGAGCGAGACTACCGCAACTTACGCCTGACGAGGGCATGCGACTCTCGGTGCACGGTGGCTGTGGCAAAGACTGGTGGCCGTGCGGACGCGAGGCTTTGCGGCGGGGCAAGGTGGGGAGGTCGGGCGGACGGGGTGGGTGGGACGGGTGCGGGCGGGGAGGCTCTGTGGCGACCGGAGGGTGGCCGAAGAGCGAGCCACAGGCGAGACGCCTGCAGCCTGCACGCCGTCTCAAAAAGAAGCACGACGTGGGAACGCACGTAATCCTAGAAGTCGTGGGACTGTGGGCGGTGTGCTCGCAATCGGCGAACGTTCTCAAACGGCACCAACACAAACCGCGCACATGAACGCAAAAGCCAAAACCAACAGTACACGATTCACACCGCCATTCTCTCCTATTCAAGCTACGAACCGATTAATGCGCTTAACGCCCACTGGCGCGTTCAACGGCCCTATGCGGCGAACAGAGAACTCAGCGAACTACTGCGCGAACGATTCGCGATATCTACTAGATAGACAGCCACTTGATGGATCACCTCACTGGCCTCTGAGAACAGCACTACCACTAGCAGGTACGGTACGTCGTCGAGTTTATGCGAACCAAATTCTACTACACTCTACCCAAAGGTTAGTCCTTGGCACGGGCGCCCCCCCCCCCCCCCCCCCACTCCCCAGGTGCATGAACGGCATCCTGGCGGGGCTCGTAGGCATCACTGGCCCCTGCGGCGTGGTAGAGCCCTACGCGGCGGCCATCATCGGCATCGTCTCCGGGGCCGTCTACTGCGGCTCGTGGCGGCTGCACGAGCGGCTTCGGATCGACGACCCCGTGCACGCCGGCGCGGTGCACGCGTGGCCCGGCTTCTGGGGCTGCATCGCGTCGGGCCTCTTCGCGTGGCCCAAGCAGGTGGCCACGCTGGGCTACGTGGGCGGCGGCGGCCTCTTCTACACGGGCCACGGGGGCCAGTTCGGGACCAACGTGCTCGGCACGCTTGTCGTGCTGGCTTGGACGGTGGCCACCTCGTCCATCGTCTTCGGGTCGCTCCAGGCCGCCAAGCTCCTGCGCGTGACTGCGGAGGAGGAGGAGATGGGTGCGCCACGCCCCGACGGCACCCCCCCACACCCCCACCTACACCCTACACCCACACCCAGCACCCGCCCACTCCACCCCCCGACTCCACACACCCCGCCCGCCCATGCCGCCCGCCCATGCCGCCCTGCGCGCATCGCGCAGGCGTCGATCTCGCCGAGCACCTGCCTCGAGACGGCGTCACGCCTCTCAAGTCCAAGATGATGGGCGCCGTGATGAGGCACCGCGGCAGCGGCAGCGGAGCCTCGTCGCGAGCTTGCGGCGCGAGCGAGACTACCGCAACTTACGCCTGACGAGGGCATGCGACTCTCGGTGCACGGTGGCTGTGGCAAAGACTGGTGGCCGTGCGGACGCGAGGCTTTGCGGCGGGGCAAGGTGGGGAGGTCGGGCGGACGGGGTGGGTGGGACGGGTGCGGGCGGGGAGGCTCTGTGGCGACCGGAGGGTGGCCGAAGAGCGAGCCACAGGCGAGACGCCTGCAGCCTGCACGCCGTCTCAAAAAGAAGCACGACGTGGGAACGCACGTAATCCTAGAAGTCGTAGGACTGCCGTGTTGCTCCCAGCGCCCTCGCCCGCGCTCCCTGAGGCCATGGCTGGTGATACTAGTATGGGGGGCTACCTGGATACCGCGAGAGCGACCCAACTCGTCGACATCGTCCGATGATGGTGCCTCAAAGTCAGCCTCCGGAGGCTATCGTCGCGTCGAGCCGGCGGTGGCCGTGACATGTGGTTCCACCACCCCTCGCAGGCTTTGCCTCTGACCGCCACCGTTCCCAGGCTGCCTAATGGGATGGAAAGGAAGGCTGGGCGAGCGTATAGAAGCGTGCTCAACCTTGTCG